GAGGGAGATATGGTTGTAACCTGCCAAATGGTAGTCCGTAGTTTGTGCCTTCTGCTAAGACTCTATGAATCATTATGAATTTTTAGAAACTATGAATAAAAAGAAGAATATTAAGTAGAAATTACGAATAAATCATTAATTCACCTTTAGCATCCGTCCTTGCGATTGACAAAGACTAATTTAAAGTATACCTTATGACACTTTTACCAAAAAAAAAAAACTGTAAAATTAAAGTGGAATAAAAAACAATACAGACAATACGTGATTCACGTCTAAAGATCGACGCCAGCTAATCTGCAGCGGTTTCACGTTGGCCTGAATTTTTGTTTTGTTAGGTCGGTCAGCGCGCTGGTTTTGCGGTAACGAAAACAAATTTTATACTGCAGTTATATACCAACATCTCTCTCTATATCTTTAATTAAACTGTCTTTAAACTGATACAATGTCAGCGGGCATTACACTATGTACATCTTCCACAGATTTAATAAAATATATATACAATATGTAACGTAATTATCGCACACCCTCAGACACCCCAATTAGTATATTATAATCATAATATATACACAGAATTTTTAGTTAAACATTTTTATGCACTGCTTAGTTATCAAATTAGTTATACTAATTCCGGAAGAATGTTGTGGTCGCAGTACAAATCCACGAACGCAAAGACTTTAACATGTTTGAAGTAAAGTTCATTTTTCTTTATTTTTATTGAATGACAGAATTAGTAATAATTCAAATAAAACTGTATATATATATATATATATATATATATATATATATATATATATATATATTTAATGGAGTAGTGGTAACAAACGAGCACAAAAAGGAGATGAGTAACAGCATCTTCCTGATAAAAACCTAAAATATATTTACCATCAAGTGAACCGTGTTTGTTTGTTGCTTCAATTCTACTTCAATATAAAAATAATTCTTTCCTATCACCGCTACGAGTATTCAAAGCTTTGCAACCCTCATACGATGCCAACGCAAGATGGTAATCATAAAATCAATAAACCTGATATTTGCACAACCAACGCTACAAAATCGACTCTAGATAGTGTTCTGCTAAACAGAGGTAGAATTTAAATTGTAAGCACCTGTTTTGAAAACTTTTTTAAGGACGGACGAGCATGCGGCTCACCTGATGTTAAGTGACTACCGCCGCCCAGTAACAACCGCAACAGCAGGGGAATTGCAGGTGCGTTGTCGGTCCTTTAGAAAGGAGTAAGCTCTTTTCTTGAAGGTCCCCAGGTCGTATCGGTCCGGAAAAATCGCCGGTTGTAAGCTATTCCACAGATAGGTCGTACGCGGAAGAAAACTCCTCGTTAAACGTCCACCACTGCGGTGGAACGCCAAGCACCTTTATGATGTGGATGGTGTCGGGAGGTTTGCCGCGATGTGCGTTCATGAACTTTAGCGGCTGGGATTAATCCGAACAATTCCTCAGAGTACTCCCCATGGTATATGCGAAAGAAAATGCAAAAAAATGCAACATCTCTTCGCAGCCAGTGAATCGAGCCGATCGGAAAGCACTCGGTCGTCGACGATTCGAGCCGCTCTGCGCTGGATGTGGTCAAGTGGAAGGAGCTGGTACTGGGGAGCCCCAGCCCAGAGATGGGAACAGTATTCCATGTGCGGCCGAACCTGCGCCTTGTAAAGTTGCAGGCGGTGTGCCGGCATGAAATACTGTCCCGCTCTGCTGAGCACGCCAAGCTTTTTAGAGGCCAATTTGGCCTTCTCTTTCAAGTTTTTTTTTTAAACTACATGGAACACGAAAACTACACTACATTCAACTACTTACAATACTACATTCTTCTGCTACACAATTTCTGTATTCAGTATATTAAAATAGTTGTACATTTTAAAAATACAAGCTGTAGCACTCAAGGGTTGAAATTTTTCAAAATTCTTTGTTAGTGGATGTCTACGTCAAAAACTGACATGAAATAATACTTTTCTTCGAGAACTTCGCCCAGGACACTTTATTCTAATTGCTTGTAATAAAAAAGTGAATCAACAAGATGATTAACTAATGTGCGTGGACCAATAAATACGTTTTGCGAAACTAAAGAAGTGCTGACGCAGAGTTCTTTGAAGAGTTTTTGAAGATCTTACATCTTTTCAAAGAACTCTCCATCAGCATTTGTACAAATATCAGGTCTAAACAAATTTTCGGATCACTTCTCCCAGCCCGCTTCATACACATCTTTAGCAGCCCTCTCGAATGTTTTTAGAGCATCTTCTGGCCTTGTTAATATTACGGAGTCTATCTATTAGACGATGGTATAGATAATTCTTTAATTTATATTTTTAAAAACTCATCAACCCGGAAGAGAGGAAAAAAAGCAAGCGAAGGAGAAAGAGAAATGATGCCAAAATATTTTCATTGTCTTAAAATTCGTTCCATACAAAACAAATTAATAGAAACACGATTTAAATTGAACCTCAAAATAACATAAAGCAATTAATAAAACAGCGGCAACATGATATTTCTTACGCGTTTTTTGCTAGTTCTAATTTTATTCTTTGTATTTTTTGGTGATGTTTAATTTTATTGAGGTGTTTATAGTCTACTGCGGTTTATTACTGTGTGATAAGACTAGGCGTTTACTGCAAATTTAGCCGTGAAGAATTTTGTGTTTTTCTTTGCGGATTGCGGAAAAGTAGACGACATTAGGCAATTAGATGATTATTTCGTAGATATCATTTACCAATATGGTAATTTTATACTAGACTAATTTTTATTTCATAACCTAACCTAACGCCTACGATAATCGGGATTAGTATGGCTCTCGAGGAATGAAAGAATTTTTAAAATTGAATCAGCAGTTCCTGAAATTACCTACCGGCCCCAAACTTACACTCTTCACTTCTCTGTGTGTTACGGACCAAGTGAGATCAAGAAACCTTTTGTAATGCCCTGACCGTAAGAAAAATGACAAGTGAAATCGGGGTACGTAATTGAAACTGATTTAAACTTCATTATTGACCTAACCTAACCTATCTTTTTATTACCCTGTCCAATAATAACGGACTTTATAAAACCCATAATAAATTAAATTATTTCAACAGTAATTACCATATTGCACGCTTATATTGGTCATTTTTCAAACTGTCGGAAAATTATGAATACTGTCCTAACATGAGTTAATATTGGGTCCTTACATATGAAATTAGTGTTTTGTCGTACTTTATAAATTAATTTAGCTGGTACATTTGAGTTTTGAAAACAGTCATTCATTTGCTTTTTTCCTGATTATATTTTTCTTTGGCGTCGCTTATTACCGTACAATGGAAAACATGAAATATCGTTATATTTACGAGTAAGAGTCCTACTGTAGCACCAGTGCTGCCGAAACAGCTCAGCAGATGTGTACGGCGCTGGTGTCGCAAAAGCTAAAAATCACGGTACGTTTTTGGTTTCAACGTTTTCGTTCTGGAAATTTCGACCTTCAGAACCAACCCTGACGGACAGACGGCCGGAGACCAAAATGAAAATTAAAGAATTAAAGGCTATTGTGGAAGCGGATCCATCACGAAGCACTTCAGAGATAGCTGCAGGCTTCGGGGTAAGTGATAAAATTGTATTAATCCACTTGAAGCAAATCGGCAAAGTAAGAAATCTGGAAGATGGATACATCATGAATTGAGTGAATCGAACTTGCAAATATGTGTCGACTGCTGCTGTGTTACTTTGCTCAACCGACACAAAAATTAAGGAACTTTAAATCAAATCATTATTTGTGATGAAAAGTGGATACTGTACGATAGTCGGAAGCACTCGTTGCAATGGCTGAACCCTGGAGACCCAGCCAAATCCCGCCTAAACGAAAATTTACTCAGAAAAAGTTACTTGTGAGTGTTTGGTGAACTACAGCTTTCCAAAATCTGGCAAAACGATTACGTTAGATAGCTATTGTCAGCAACTGCAAACTATGAAGGAAGAACTAGCTGCTAAACAACCGAGATTGGTCAATTTGGTCAATAGGTCGCTCTAGGCCACTGCTGCTTCACAACGCAAGACCACACACTGCACAACAAACAACCACCAAGTCAGATGAGCTACAATTGGAATGTCTGCGACATCCACCGTACTCACTGGACCTTGCTCCAACAGATTACCATTTTTCCGGAATTTGGACTACTTTTTACAAGGAAAAAAATTCAACTCCGATGCGGCAGTCCAAACCGCCTTCAAAGAGTTTATTGATTCTCGCCCCCATGGTTTTTTTTAGTAAAGGGATCACTGAACTACTTATGAGATGGCAAAAGAGCATAGATAACAATGGTGCATACTTTTAATTAAATATATTTTACAAAAACAAATTGACTTTATATTCCTCCCGAACAAAACGCCAATATCATATGTAAGGACCTATTTATTATATGACAATGCTTTTTTAGTTTTTATTTAACTTATTAATTCTGTTCGATGGACTGCAATAAATTAAATGTGAAATTGGAAACATATCAGTTGGAATAAGATATTATGAAGTCAAAGTTGAAATTATTTTAACTGTAAAACTAATATGTGATTAAACCAGGGAGGTGGACCACAAATTAAAGCCATTATGCTATTTATGGATTCTTCGCAGACCACTTACTGTACATTTATAGAAATGTATAATATTATGGAAACCGAAAAGGGTTTTGGTCCTGCGGTAACAGACGCCCGTGTCCGTGTACTTTCACTCTGTATGTACTATGTACCTATAATGTCAGCACTCCGGACAATTATTAAACTTTAACAGCTTTAAATAATTATTAATTCTTTATATTATGTTTTGAAAGCGACCTAACCTTTTATATATACAAATAGTTTATTTTGTGGTAAACCGTTTTGAAAGGTCAGACATTTCGTTAATTATATGTGATGTCACAAACTTAAATGACACAGTAAAACAATACAGGCTTTTTACTCATTTGAATACGTAAAAATGTTTAATAAATAAAACAAAAGACGCACGTAATCTTTCTTTTATATGCATTACCTGATTAGCAAAGAGTAATCCACTGAGGCGGAAACGACAAAATCACTAAAGACACTATACTAAACTATGTTTTTAGTAACGTATAAAACTTGATTCACTGGAAGCCCTTTATGTTAAATTTATTATTACACGCGAGGCGGGATAGCGACGTCCTCCCACCACGGAAACTCATGTGCTACTGAATTTGAAATTTGAATCAGTCAGACTGTCAGAGCTCAGAGTCAGACAACGAACTTGTTCGCCGCCGGTATAGCAATTAGACTGGTGTACACTGTACACGTTACACAATGTATAGTATACGCCGAGTGTGTGTATATGTCCTAAGCCGAACAAAGGCGATGGTGCCCGAAGGCTCGAAGCCGCACAGCTGTTGCAATGTTAGTGATAGCGGTGGGTAGTAGCGGCTTTTTTGAGTAACGAAACGAAACTATCTATCGAATATCAGTAGCGGCTTTTGAAACACTCTATTTTAATAGAGGGTTTTGAAACACTCTATTTTAATAGTGGCTTCAATAGAGTGTTTGTTTCACGACGTGTTTAATTGAAAAACTTTGCGAATGAAACGATGTCGGTTTCACGAGAAAACTTGTTTGTTACCGTTTTGTATAGAATTAGACATGGTTTTAATGGTTAAAATTTATTTGTTAAATAATTTCGCACGGTTTGATAAAAAATTATGAACACTAATATATAAAATTGTATTTAGTTCTTATTTTACTAAAAATATTATTATTATTGCACAAAAAAGAAAACAAAAATATTAAAAAACGCGCCTAAAAAGTAAAAACAAACCGTGTCATTAAACTTAAACACAAGACTAATTTAAACCGGGCCAAGGCCACTCAAATTATGGAATTTGAACTATTTTTTGTTAAAAACATGCACACTTACTTTCTCATTTCTAATATCGCATCTATACGAAGGGAATAGAGTCATAGGTCAAATGCAAAAGCGCCCGCGCTCACTCGACATTCGAAGACTGGTGGTACTTATACCACATCGTAAAGAGTCGGTTTCTTTACTCATGTGCTTCTACTTCAACAGCCGAAGCCGTCGCCGATGCGTCGCGAAAATATCCGAATAAACGTTTTGTTATTGTTACTGATCGCTCGTTTGTGATTCGTGAAACGTGAATCGTGTTACTGAGTAAAACGTCTACTGTAATAGATAGTTTCGATGCACTGCAGTAACCCGCTACCCGCTATTGTGTGAATAGATAGTTTCAGTAACTAGTTACGTTTTGTAACGACCACTCCTAGTTAGTGAACCAGACCCGAGACAATGCGAATCGATTCTCGATACGGGCCCCATCTGACGTAACGCATCTCTCGTAATGCATTTACGATTGATATACGATACTCAATTCGTTCCGCACCTGTTATCAATATTACTAATATAGTAGACGAATTATCCACGGTGTGTTGAATAAGTGTTTTAATCACTCTAGCACAGAAACAATTATATAACCTGTGACTCTACTACAAAATGTTATTCGTTAACTGCGTTTTATTACCGGAACAAATACGAGATTTTAATGATTCACAACCAATCAATTAGATTTAAACGTTCTATTAAAGAAAAAAAAGTATAAAAGAAATATTTTAAGGTGATTAGATTAAAGAGTTTGGGTTATTAAAAACTGCACGCACCTTTCTTGAATTTTTGGTAGATTTTACCATATAATACCGTTTCAATTATCATTGTATCTAAATTTGCGCGCCTGTTCTATTGTGTAACAACAGATTTGAGCATTTTATATTTTTATTTTGACATCATAAAAGAGATAAGCCTTAACTAAAATAGGAGGAACGTGCAGTTTTACATATAAAAAAATCTACATCGTTGTTTTAAGCACTTGGCGTTCATTCATCAAAAAGTTAAGATAAATCTAGTTCCGTTGTCGGTATAGTTAGAGCCTATTAAAGTCGACTGCTATACATGGGCTTCCCCTACAGATTTGCCATAGTTGCCACGCGTGGCAAGCGGATTTGGGAATGCTTATTAGGAAGACACTGCTGCCCATATCATGATTTGTTTCCCACTGCCGCCTTTTAAGATACCCACGGTATAATATAGGGTAGTGGTACCACTACATTAAACGGTATCTAATATAATTCAATAGTGGTTAATAACGTATTTAATTAATGCTTCCTTACATTATGTTTTTAATTTCCATTGCCTAATGGTCGTTGGACAAATGGTCGTAAACGGGACTATTCAATATTCATCATATGGTCCAGGATTCGAATCCCGGGTCGAGCTATAAATTAGTTATGGAGTTTGTGTGTCAGAAACTTGGCGGTTTTTCGCTCACTTAAAGCCGTTGGTCTCTCGCCAGTCGTGGTGGATTGCCCCCCCCCTCATAGGACTATGAAAAGGAGGGAATAGAGTTATTTTGTGCTTGCGCACACTGTCGGGCACTGTGTAGCTCTTGCGCAGATAGCTAGTCTCTTTCTTTAAATTACGTACCCTTTTTTATTACGTAAAAGTTCGTGAAGGCAAAATACAAATAGTTGTAAATGTAGTAGAGCCACGCTGCAGCTCCACTATGATTGTAGCACGAAAGGATCGGCTCGACCAGTTGATTGTACTAACGCGCTGGCTTAGAATAATTTAATAATATCAGTATCGGGGAATGACCCCGCTCCTTCCCCGGTTGAGCCGACCCATTCATGGTACAACAATAATATAGCTGCAGCGTGGCTCTACCACGTAAAGAACAGCTATTACTATCCTTATAAATACATCTATTATTTAAATTATTTTACTTTTATTCTTAAAAAATGGTGATACACTGGATATTTATCTTGTATCGTGGAAGCATTTTAAAAATGGAAATTGCACACGGACAAACATCCAAAGACTTTTCCGAACAGGGTTCGAACCCGCGACCCCACATCGTCACAGCAGAATACTTGGCCACCGAAGAACCAAGCCGTTAATCTTTTTTAGCAACTGCGCGATTGGGTGCTATTGTAAAGTTTATACCCATATGCGAGTATAATTTTATGTTCTACATAGAGCTAACTTCTACAGCTTTAACTTACTACGTCATTAAATCTTCTTATATTTTTATCATAGTCATATCAATGCCGAGTCAAGGTAGATCAGGAGCTTAGCGCGCGCTGTAAATTCTACCCACAGTACGCGAGCAACCCTGGCTCGATCTAGGGATGAGCCGAATATGGATTTCACCGAACACGAATATTTGGCCGAACGTTCGGTAAAATTTTTACCGAACCGAATATTTGGCCGAACATTATTCGGCAGGATAACCTCGGTACCTAACCAATTTATGTCGAAACTTGTTACCGTAAAGCGCGCGGGATTAGCGCCAGCTCACCTGCAACACCTGACATGTTATTGCATCATCTAGTACTGAGCAAATTTCCGGCACATGCTTATGTTTTGACTATTTTTGTGCGAAAAAAGTATTCTTAGTGAAAATTATAAGTATGTGACGCAAAAAAGTGGCAGGCGATCTACTATTTGGACCAATTTAAGAGAAACTGACGACTGTAATGTAATGTTTCCTTGTATGATTCCTAACAAAATTTTATCAAGCTTTCTATTTGCTATATTTGGAAATAAATCTACAGTGCCTCAAAAACATATCGTCATACAAGTAGATTTAACCCATAAATAAATATACTTTCAATAGTAAAATTATAAAAGACATGGCATTACTAAATTCGTACATTTCCATACAGTGGATACTTTGAGTACCACTTTACCGAATATTCGGCGATTTAGCCTTTCCGAATATTCGGTAAACCTACCGAGTATGCCGAATACCGAATATAAAACGAATATTCGGCCCATCTCTAGTTCGATCCCCAAATTGTTAATTGCAATTTTAAGTACTGATTTACTTAAAAGAGCAACATTTGTTTAACGCTGGCTTTTCCTACTTATTAAAAGCTTTTTTTATCATAGCATTGGGTAACAAGCGAGCACACAGTCCCCTTGATGCTAAGTGAATGCTGTGGCCTATAGACATCCACATTTATTTTCAATTAAGGATCAAAATGCAAATGCGTTGTCACCCCTGAGGAATAAGATGGAATGCCTCGATTCCAGTAAAAAGTGTCATCGATTCTCTACACTCACCATACGAAACACAGCGCATTACGCTGCTATTTTACGCTGGTATTCTGTGAGAGCGCGATCCGGCCCCAGTCGAGCCAACCCATTCATGCTAACACCATGTACACGACCATATAAAAATATTTTTATGTGACCTTTTTTATCTTGCTCGCATAGTGCAATTACCGTATTATAAATTATAATACGATATTAAGTATGATAATAACATATATATACGTAGAGTAGAACGACATGAGGGGATTTTGCCATATTTGCCATACTTAGCAAGCGCGTGGGTAACCGCATTTTTTCCATTATTCTGAGTTGTTATTAGGAAGATGCTGCTGCTCATCTCCTGCTTCGTTTTCCCTCGGTCGCCTCTTACGTCATCCTGGACGCGATGTGGAGGTCGTGGATATTCGTACACCGCCACCACACGGGTAAAGAATTATATGAAGTCACATTAGGTTTCTCTTTCAGCTAGCTGCTGTTGGCCCAAAAATAACAGTAGTGCTGATTTTCAAATAGAGCGCAATAATAACTTCACGGACGGACATACATTACCTAAAACTGAAACAAAACAGGGGGTGATGGATTATCTTGAACCAACAAATTGTTGTTTGGTCATAATATTGCTGTTTGATATTTATAATTATAACATATATTTTTATATAGCATGAAGGTGGCAAACGAGCACACAGTCCACAGCGTTTACTTGCCGCATGATGGCGAGTAAACGCTGTAGCCCATGGACATGTGCTAGTACTCGTGATCAAATTGTAAATAAGTTGTCATCCCTGATGAAGATTGAATGCGTCGTTTCCAGTAAAAAGTTCTCCAGTTCTCTACAGTCACTACGTGAAACACAATAGCAAAGCTACTTTGTCACGCCGCTATTCTGTGAAACCTTGATCGTTTCCCGAAGAGCCGACCTATTCGTACTGCAACTGCTACGACCATAATATAGCTGCAGAACGTGCTTATAAATATATACGTATGCGTTGCGTGCAGTTGCTTATGACTGCGATCGTTAACCCGCTTCTCGAAATACCGAGGTTATTTATCAAGGAGTAGCCAAACTTTAAACTTAAATACAAATATGAGTTTTATTTACTCATATTTTCAAAAGCTATATCTATATCATAAGTTACAGCCTATATACGTCCCACTGTTGGGCACATGCCTCCCCTCATTTCTTGAGAGGGTTCGTGCCCCAATGCGTGCTAGCGTACTTCACATGTCTTCGAAATATTTTTTCTTATTCCTCAGACATGCAGGTTTCCTCACGATGTTTTCCTTCACCGCCGAGCATGTGGTAAATCAGCACTTAAAATTGCAATTAAAAATTTCATTGGTGCCGGCGGGGATCGAACTCAGGTTACTCGCGTTCTGTTATATTTACAGCGAGCGTTAACCATCTAAGTTACCACGACTGTTTCTTATATATTATCTATATCATTATACATCGTTATTGCAGTTTTTGAAAATACGAGTAAATAAAACTTCTACTTTTATTTGAAATTATCGCAAATTGAACGTGATTTATAGGCAATAATGTTTTTGCCTACCGATCGACCCTCACGAATATGTGCGTGCGCGGAAAAATCAGTTAAAATAATTCATTACCACGCAGTTTGAATTTAAAATATAAAAACAACAGAATTCTTGAGATTTTTTTATTAATTTTTCTTCACCATTTGCCTTTATTACTTATTCTGAATCTTCTCTGCAACTTTAGCCGGTTATTGCAAAATAACACTGTATAGGTATGAGTCTTTTTATTATAAGTTTCTAAATTATATTTAGAGTGGAC